CTAGATGATTAAAGAGGAGAAAAAGTATTTCTTTTACCACGTTTTAAAAAATATTCATTTACTTAATAAATATAGAGTGGTCAAACAAATATTTATGTTCACAGGGCACCATGTGATAGGGAGAAACATTGTTTCTGCTCTTCCCAAGCATACAGGTGAAGAAGGACAAAAAGCAGAGCCTATAAAAAAGCCCCTGGCAACACAGTTGATTTGGAGAACTTCATGTATAAATGGAATAAACTATGGAACCCGCCCCAAGGAGAAGCCAGGCGGGCATGTTATCTTGAGGTCCTAAAGGATGTTACTGGTTTAGAGAATGATCTTTACCCCCTAGAAAACTATGGGCCAAAGAGACAGCAAGGAAAGCAGCTGTCAGTACTGCTCACGAGAAGTGACGGAGAGTCAAACAGCATTACATCCTAGAACACATTTTGAAACGCAGAGGACCTCTAACCTCGAACGACTCATACTCTTTCTATATCCCTGATCAGTATTTGCTTCCATTTACTACTTTCCTAAAATGGCTTACTCTTCGAAAATGCAAACTTTGCATTTATTTTAAAGAGAAAACAGAGACTGTGATGAAGGCAAATTTCACATTTGTTTGCTTTTCTTGCATCTAAGAATGAATTAGAAGCCACATTCTTAAATATTTTCATCCCACCTCAGTGGAAGTGACATTAGTACCCCTCTTCAAGGCGAATCCCCCAACCAGACCTCTAAATTCCCATCTCTTCAAGAAACTTGTTTCCCTCTGATTTTTGTGTCTCTGAACTTTCTTCTCTTATAATGGGCCCTTCTACAATCTCTCTCATTTGTCATTTCTCCCTCACTCTCATGATTCATGAGAATAGACTCCATTAATGAACTCCTTTTCCTTGTTTCCCATTTGTTCCACAGTGAAATTAGCTTTTCAGAGGTACAACTGTATTGAACAATTCTTTTGAAGTTCAATGAATGTATTCATAATGTCTTCTGTATTTTAATCTTTAATTTCCTGGTATGATATGATGCTTGTATTTCACATTCTTCTTTCCAGAAATAAGTGAAGTACATATTTTACTGATTTTTAATAAGATTTTTGTCACATCCAGTGGCTTCAACTGAGGTTCAATTTCTTCGCAAGAACATTAGAAATTTAGCCGATTAATCAAAAATCAAAATGCCTACTAGTAGCTATAGGATTGCTGAAATAATCTTATATTATTGTCAATGGCCAGATATTGCATCATGTACATATAAAACAACAGTTAGTTTATAGGTGACACATTATAGTTTCCATTTTTTTTCTTAAACCAATTTTGATGAAAATTTTAACTAACAAGAAATTGTACCAATATGGCAGATAACTTTTAAGATGCTTCCCAATGATTTCAACCTGCAAGGAGTAATGCTCTTACGTAATTTCCTTCCCCTGAGTATGGGTTGGAATGATCAACTCAGTAATAATAAACAGAATAAAGCAGAAGTTATGGAATGTCACTTCAAGATTAAGTTATAAAAAGTCTTGGGCATGTAGTTATTTCTCTCACAGATTGCTTGCTTTGGAGGAAGCCTGCTGCCATGCCTTGAAACAGTCCTATAGAGATGTCCACATGGCAAAATACTGAGAGATGCCTCTGGCCAACAGCCAGCAAGAAATCAATATCCTTAGTCCAACACCTGTGAGGGAGTGAGGTCTGCCAAAATCTAAGTGAGTGGGCTTAGAGGTGTATCGACCCCAAGTGAGGTCTTCAAATTAGACTTCAGTCCTACTTGGCAGCTGGTCTGCAACCTCATGAGAGACCTTGAGCTATAGGCACTAGGCTAAGCTGTACCCATATGCCTGACTCCCAGAAAACATGAGATAAATGTTTGTTAACAAAATGTTCCTAACAAAATGTTGGGGAAATAGCTACAGACAATTAATACAATGTATTTGACTTTATTTCAAAAAGGATTTTATTTCTCAGTAGTGTATAACTGATTACCCATTTTTGCATTATTAATAAAAATTATGACTCTTCTCATTGACATAATGTCTGTTAGTCACAATAAAAAGAGCAAGGATTATATATGGTTACTCAAGAAGTAATAACTGCAATTAGATTATTAGAAATCCAGGACAAATCATTTCTGAATCTGTATTTCTGAAAAAAATGAATGACTAAAACAGAATGTAATTTGTGAAATCAGTGACTATAAATGCCCCTGGCTTTACAGATGAATGAGTGTCTTAGAATAATATTTGCCAAGAGGGAAGGTTTTAGCTACAGGCAGCATCTCCCTAATGAGGTAGCTCATCTCGTCCTAATTGATTAGTCAATGTCTGGAACAGATATTTTTGTAAGCAGCGTGACTGTGCCCTGTTGAGAGGGAATCCAAGTGACAGACCTAATACCTACAGTCTTCAGCCATCTGATGAAGCAGTGAAATGGCACCAGTACCAAAGTCGTAAATGTTTGAGAACATGAAGGAAAAAGAGAACTGCCTTCTCTTTGAAATAATCAGAATGAAACTAGCAGAAGTCAACTGGACGTTCATTGACAACAAAGAGCATAAGAATAACAATTGTGAAGGTAAAAGTGTATTAAAATTATCTTGGGACTCAGCATAAATATGCAGAAATTTTGAGAGGGGGCTTCTAAGGGAAGCAGTCTCATAAATAAGGTAAATACATATTTTATTCACTGAAGTAATTCTAAATATTGATCTTGGAATTATTTATTTACAAACCAATGAAGAATATGCCTGTTCCAAGGTAAACTGGAAGAAAACTTTTAGAAATCCATGAAATATATTCAAAATAGAGAGTAAGTAAAATCATACATCATCCACTAAATGGGAGAATTAGAGCTGAGCTAATCCTATCTTTACAATAAGGGAATAATCTTGCAATAAATAAGATGGTTTGGCATTTGCGTGGAGATTTATTTCATTTCACAGTTTAGGTTGTAGTGAACCCAGGACTACTCTCATAGCTTTCTAACTGCTTTCCAGTCTATATTTTGTTTCTCAATAATTTTACCCACTCCTATAAGGTTTATTTTCCCAAATCAAAGATCTCACCATGCATGATGTTTGCACAAATTTGTAATAACTCCCTCTTGACTACTAAATTAGCTAAGCTTTCATGACATTCCAGTAGATCTCCCTGCAGAGTGGTGAATCAGGCAAGCTATATGTCCAGCTTCCCAGATTCGTGTTAGGGCTCCACTACTTATCAGTTATGATAATGATGGGCATGGTAATTAAAATTCTCTGTATTTTAGTTCCCTTATCTATTAAACAGGATGACAATTTTAATGAGCACAGATGTTTATTGTGAAAATTAAGATAAATAATCTGTCATGTGTTAGGAATAGCGTCCTGGTCCATTATGAGTACTCTGTAAATACTAGCCATTACTTGATTATTGCTGCTATTTTGAAATTCAGAGAACCCTAAGACTATGAGTGTCTACCATCTGATAGAAGATTTTATGTAGGTATCTCATTTAACTTGAACTACATATTTCTGAAATAGGAATCATTATTCCCATTTTACAGATGAGGAGACCAAGATCCAGACATATTAAGTGATTTCTCTAAACTCTTACAGTGACTTGAATGCTACAGCCAAGTTCCCAGCTAGGTTTCCTGACTTCAGGTTGAAGGCACTTTTCACTACAGAAGAGTTATTCGTTCCAGGCTTGTCACCTATCACTCCACTAGGAAGGATCCTGATTAATAGTGCTGGCTATGAGTTTCAGTGCCAGCCTAAACAGTTATTTGCAATTCCTACAAGCTCTCTGAAGTTCAGTATTCTTGACTGTAAAAGATAGATAAACTAATCAAGAGCATTATGTCACTTAAATAAGTACAATAGCTGGTATATATCATGTGTACAGTTTACTAGTTTATATATGTATTTATATTTATTGTTATAGTTTTATTGATATTAAGTCACTTAATGTCATGCTAATATCCTTCATTTCACTTCCTCATTACCAGTGCCTTCATCTCCTCTGTGCTCATCTCTGTCTATTGAAAATGCACCCTTTCTCATAGAGAAACATATCCCTTTGTCCCAAAGCACTGCCTTTTTCTCCAATGAGAAAGAAATCCAGAATCCCTTGGCAAACTCTGTGGACTTAGATATGCTTCACCTTTCAGAATTTTGTCTTATTTTAGAAAGTTTTTAAGAATGTTTGCCTTATATATTATGTAACATCCCCTGAAAAGATCTGGGGTAGAAACCCATAATTAAATATAGTAATATTTTTTCTGCAAATAGTACAAATGTTTCACACTCCTTTGGATAAATAAAGACTATACACTGGTTCATGTCAGTTCAGATCCTATATTCCAACACGTGAGATAAGGCTAGCATGTGCTGCCAAATGATTACATTTTAAAAATTTTGTGTTCTGTTGCTTTGATTTTAGAATTGAGCCTAAAGGACTGTAGACCTGTATGACCTCCTCGCACTCCCCCATCACAGTTTTGCTAGGTTCTTTCTTGAGGTTAGGAGGTAGTCTACCTAGCGTGCTTGTATGTTAAATCCTTCTCAGTGTGTTAGACATACTTTATAAACAAGAAAATATCATACCTATATTCCAAATGTGTAGACAGTGTTAAAAGTACTTGTCTTCTAAATATGGCAATACTTCTTTTCATGGTTATTAATGTACTTTGAGTCATTATTTAAGCAAATTTCTTTGGAAAGAAATAGCCTAAATTATATCGGTATTGATTCCCAAAAAGATCTCAAAAAGAACTTAACCTATTGATAGTCTGCTTGAATTAGGAAACCAGAAGAGGTAGCGAATGCCCCCCAAATTTCAAATTCTAATAGAAATTTGGAAAATTAGGAATGATGGGGAACATTCTTAGCATCTTATTTTGCAATTTGCAGGTGAGCCATTAAAAGTCAACGATGATACTCTGACTAAAACTGATTTCATGCTATGTGTTTGTGAGCCTTTTTCTTCTTAGTTGTGATTTACTTTAGAGGAAACATAGTAATTTCTGCCATCTCACCTATATGTTGTCCATACATGTGATAAAAGAAGCTGAAACAATATGCAGTGTTCGTGGGTCCATAAGGGTTTTTGGGAGCTATGCTGAAAACAGGGCTGAGAAGTCGAGCCTTTTCTCCTTCCAGTCTGGGTCGAGATGTCTCAATGTACATATAAAAGCCTTTAAGAAGACAAAATGTTTGAATACATTATTATTAGGTGACATGAAATTTAAAATCACTGAGAAATTTTAGAGTTTTCATACAAAGTAAAAATTGATGGGAAGATGTACATCTCATTTATAAAATCTATATGTGCATAACATCAGATAAAGAATACATAATCTACATAAAGATACAGTTATTTAAAATGTATAAAAACCTGAGACAAAATCAGTATTTTAGACTTGAATTATTTAAAAAAAAATCCTAATCTCTTAACTATATATGCCAGTGAATTTTGAGAGAAAATCAATGATTATGAACTTTGGAACTGTCTGATTTATTGATATGGTACATAAAAATTTTTGAAAATGTTTTATTCCAGAATATTCAAATCTATAACTAAACATTCTCTTGCATTTCATATTAATGGCATTTCTGAAAGTCCATGGCTGAAGCATGATTGTTATGAACACAACATTTCATACCCTCATACCTTCTTTGGAGCCACTACGATCAGCATTAGGTCCAGTGTTTGGAGTATATTTAGTATTTCTTGTTGCAGTACTTTGCTTTGTCCAGTCAAAATTATCTGTATCATCTTGGGTGAACAAACAAATGTTACCATCTTCAAATCCACAGTGAAATTCTCCTGTTACCAAATTTTAATTAAAATAATTAAAATCAATAAAATAAATACAAACATAGCAATGTTCTTATAAGAAAAAATTAAAACATTATACAGCAATAATAAAGCAAGATTACAATAATGGCACCAGAGCCATAATAATCCAGAAGATTATGACTAAACAAAAACCTATTTCAATTTTAATGAAAATGAAAAATAATCTTGATATGTAAATCAGTCTTTTATTTAATAACTTAAGCCCAAACCATTTTCCTCTGAAATACCCAGACAAATGAAATTAAAGAACAGAATTCACATTTGAATTGCAGCTGAAGAAGTTGCCCAATTTTCATTTTTCAACTATAGGAACACTCCAAACAAAACAGTCAATTAGAAAAATATTTTTATTAATTTAACTAACAGCACTTTAAGGCTGTATACTTTGAGGTTATAATTTTTCACACCATGTCTGAATATGCTTTCACATATACCTGTTTGAACAATAGAAGTTTACTTAGGCGAAGATAATGGCAAATTATTTTTAAAAAGAAGTTATCTTTCATACTTTATTTGAATGTAGATTTGCCAATATTTGAAATTCATTAGAAATAAGACAATGAAAAGTCATTATGAAGACCCTGTGGAAGGACTGGGATTTCTTGGATGCCTGCCACATGCTGAGTTCAGACCCAACAACAAGTTCAGAGAGCGTTTTCTTTAACTGTCTCTAAAATGAGGGTAGTAGTGATGTTTGCAGGTATCAAAGGGTTTTCTTTGGGATGCACCTTGCTTGAAATATAGGAGTAAATAATGGAGATTATAATCTCCACTAGATACAAAATTAAAATTATTCTTAATTGAAAAACAAAGTGAACACAGTTTATTTTATTCAAATTTACAAGAACTCTATGAAATTACAGTAATACTAACTCATGAGGCTCACAGAGGAGCAAGTTTTGGCTAACTGCAGTTAGTAAATGATGAAGTCAAAACTGAGTACAGATTCCCTGGAATTCATAAAGAAATAAACATCATAATAAGAGGCTCCCATTTTTTTTCCCCTGCAATGGGTCAGATTTATTAGATATCCTTGGTAGTGACGTCCTTGAAGCTGGGATCATGACCCTGAATGAATCTGTGTGTTTCTATTCACTAACAATGAACTACCAGAACAGGGAATTAAGAAAATGATCTCATTTTGAGGAACATCAAAAAGAATAAAATACTTAGGAATAAACTTAGACAAAGAGATGAAAGACTTATACATTGAAATTACAAAATACTGACAAAAGGAATCAACAAAGACCCAAATAAATGGGAAGACATCTCATGTTCTTGTATTAGAAGAATTAATGTTGTTAAAATGTCCATACTAACCAAAGTGATCTATAAATTCAATGCAATCACTATGAAAATACCAATGGCATATTTAAAAACAGAAATAGAAAAAAAATTCCCAAGTATGATATCACAAAAGACCCCAAACTGCCAACACAATTGTGAGCAAGAAGAACAATGCTGGAGCCATCACACGTACACACTTAAGTGTGCACGTTGCAAAGTTACGATAATCAACAGAGTATGGTACTTGTACACTACTGGTGGGAATGCACATTGGTACAGCTATTATGAAGAATGGTACAAAGATTCCTAAAAAAGCCTAAATACAGAACTACCATATTATCCAGCAATCCTTCTTATAAGTCAAAGAAATGAAATCAGCACCTCAAAGGTATTATTTGCAATAGCCAAATTATGTGTCCACTGATGGATGAACGGGAAAAGAAACTGCCAGATATGTATAATGGGGTATTATTAAGCTTTAAAAATGATTATCTTTCCTTTTAAAATAACATGGAGGAAACTGGAAGCAATATGTTTCTCTTGACAACTAACCATTTTCCTTTCAGTTAAAAATGTTAATCGATTAAAAAAAATTCTAAATAGAAAGCCTTCCTCTTTTCAATTGAAGAAATACATTTTTTGAGTCTAATGTAGAAGCAAACTACAACAAAATTTCATGGACTTTACTGTATATGTGTATTTTGGAAGTGGATATTTAGGATAAATAAATTCACTTAAAGATTATATAAGTTGATAAAATGCAAAAAAAGCATTTAGGGGTAGTTTGATTTGTTGCCAATATATAAAGACTCATATCACATTTATTATCATGTTACATATTAATATATATTCCTAAAATCAGTTTATCCTATTAAGATGTTTAAGCAAACTGTAATTTATATTTAAGTCAACATATAGTCAAACCATTGCAAAATTTTATTATCAAAACATTAATCTTTTTTTGGAAGAAATATTGCTAAATAGTATTTTAAGAATTCATTACACCATATAATGATAAATAACATAATTATAAATAACATATAAGAAGTAAGATTTGGCAGTATTTTTTTCACTTTAAGAAATAACTTAGAATCACAATAGAAATACTTAATGTTTTTAATTATAGTTTTTCTCAGTTAGATTTTTTTCCCCTAAGTGCTTAATTTTCATTTTCTCTTCAACTTCATTAAAAATATCGTTACTGGAAAGATATCTTTTAATGAACTGTGGAGAATAAGTAATAAGCATGTTATAACTAATTGGAATATTACAGAAAAATCACAGTAATAGAAAATAAGTTTGCCAGGGGCTGGGGTGCAGGGAAGCTTAAGTACAAAGCAATATAGGGAAATTTTAGAGGTGATGAAACTTTGTGGTGATGGTTACATGACTGTATAAATTGGTCAACACTTCTTATAGACATGTACTCAAAATAAGGTGAATTTTTGTGTGTGTAAATTATATTTTGAAGAAAATGTCAAAAAATTTAAAATATTATAGCATTTAAGAAAAAGATCTCAGGTAAAAGTAATCTGAAGGAAAGAAAAGTTAACTTTCCTTAGCAAAAATTTAAAATAAAACATGACCTTCTTTTACATGTTGTCCTATTTTCCTCTCTTACTGAATAATGTCTGGCTAGTTTATTAAGAGCCTGAATTTATAGCAGGGAGTTTTGCTTGATAAAGCATTTTTCTTATATGTATTTGGGACCTGGAGGCAATAATGAGAGTTAAAGAAATCAATTAATAGGAAAAAATGCATGTGACTATCAATAACATAAAAATAATTACTCTTGATAACTTAGAGAAATCATTATGTAATAATGACTAAGATGTCTTTTTTTCTAAACAACTCTCATTTTATACCATGTTACCTATTCATTAAAAATCAAAAACTACACAGCCAATGGAAAATTTTGGTATAGAGAGTTATGCTGGAAATTATTTTAAAAATAGAAAATCCAATGCATTGTTTAGATTTGCATTTTGCTACATATAAAATGCTTGCTGAGGAAGGTAAGTTGGTAAATATGACCTAATGGATTCAAGTTTTTAAAGGAAGGATTCAAATTCCAATTAAGGCTGTCCATCTTTAGGGCACACTTCTGGCTTCTGTAACTTTTGAACATTGTACACCAGACACACTGAGCTTAGCTAAGTTACTATGCAAACATGGCCTTCTTTTCAATGACAGGCAAACCGTTCCTCACCTTCTTTACCTGAGGAGCCTCCCCAACTTTCAAGATAAAGCTTAAATATCATCTCTTCTGTAAAACTTTCTCAGTTGCCATAAAATAATGGTGCTTATTATATTGGACTAAAGTAATCAGTTAACAAACATTCCCTCTCTATAAATATGTATGCATTTTGTTCAAATTTTTTTTCCTTGAATTAGAATATTTCAACTTTCCTTGTATTTAGTTTTAATCTTCCCCAGACAACTGTTTTTAAATATTTTTACTGGAAGTGCAGTCAGAGAACTTACATTCAAAGGTATTATAATCAATATAGTAAGTAAAGAGTAACATCACCCTGGGCAGAAGCCAGGGAAAACCTGATTTATGCAATTAATTAATCTTGAAACTGTTATGTATTTGTTCTTTTAACAAATGATCTTTGAAACCCCTGCTAAATATGAGTGCTGTGACAGATACAAATTAAATGAGATGAGGAGAGAAGTTAGAAACAGATTTAGTTCTTAAGTATCTTACAGTCTGCTGGAGAATATGAGAAAATCAAAAATAGCTTCCACATAGATGAAGATAAATTGTTATGAAAAATCAAAATGAGGGAGTACTTGGAGGAAGAAGCATTTGGGCTAAACATTATAAGAAAAATGAGCCTCAAAGAGTTGATAATAATATCCACATTAAAGGGTCGTCATGATGACTAAATGAACTTTTATGCATTGAAGCAAGATATGAACAATAAAGATCTATAAAAAATATCTAGTGTTAGTATTTGGATATGCAGGAGGATCTTTGGTAGGAAACACAACAAGAACAGAGGTTATGTAGCTTAGTCTTTGTTATATAATCTGTTAAAGGCCATTGCAGAAAGAGAATACAGCAAAATGAGAAAAAAGACTTGGACATTTTCTTCACTAAGCATAGGAAAAACAAGAATGTTGAATGGACAGGAGAAAGAGTGCAAAGGTGGCTCTTCCTTCTTTGGTTAGACAAGAACAATGTATTGTTAGACACAAAATAGGAGACAAAAGCCAATCCTTCATTTTAAAATGAAATAGTATCAAGAAGATGGTGACCAGATTATCTTCTTCTGCAGATAAGATAAGAATGTTGAATAGTGATTCATGAAAAATCTTGATTAAACCATTCAAACACCAACTTTCTAAGTAAATATATTTCATATGTGTAATGTAGAAATCAAACAATGGAAATTAAAGAAACAAATAAGAGCAATACATATAACATGCAATCCCATCAAATAAACAAATAGTCTCAGTTATATGAAGAACTCATTAAGCAGATTGGGGAAATGGCTCCGTATTTGGGAAAACATAAAAAGTCAATTACCAATATTAAATAATGTGTTTTTATATCCATATCCTTTGAAATTTAAAATTCACATTTAATGCCAGTTCTACTGTTTCTAAGTCATTCTATTTTAAACCAAATATGAACAGTTGCTAAATAAGCTTTGTATGTTAACACATTTTTTATTTTTCTTAATTGTCAAATACAGTGCCACTTTTAAAGTGAAAATATACTTACTCAAATGAGGATTAACAGGAGCTAAAAGAAAGGCAAAAAATAATGTTAGCATGGCTTGAATGTCTTTTATAAATAAAAGTCTAATCAGTGTCTCATAGTTCTTTACCAAAACTTAATGATCTTCCCCACTGTGGCACAGAGAATTACATCTGAAATCCATTTTGTTCTAAAGGATTGAACAGAATCTACTTTGGAGCTCCGCAATAAGAGCGTCAAAGTACCCAAAAGATCAATGCTAAATAGCATGTGGGATTTGTTCATTTCCCAAGGAATAGAGCTGCTGATCTTTTATATCTTAACTGGTGCTAAACAAAACCCAGAAATCAAAATGAGGCTGACAGCAGGCCAACCTATAATCTAGATGTTTGAACAATGAATGCAATTATCCAACAGAGATTTCACTTTCAGCTTTTTGGGGGGGTTCTTGGTTTTGTTTTGTTTTGTTTTCTATTTCTGGTGAAAGAACATGTTCTATGAAAACAAAGCAATTCTCATATCATGTCATTATATGCGTCCTAGAACAATAGCTACTTTGATGATGATTTTATTAATTATGTTAACATACACACAAAGACACACACACACACACTTTTCAAAAGATAAGCAACATATTTGCGTTTTTGTGTACCAGAAGAAATACTTATCTCAAAAAAACAGTCTTGTTTGCAATACAAGTGCTGATTTATTTCTACCTGAAGAGGAATTAATGCTTTCAATTTTACTGAAACAACAACAAAAATATATCTAACGTAAGAGACAAAATGGTATCTCTATATATCGATTAGGCATTTATTACTCTGAGTGAAAGTTCCATTCTGGATGAAAAAAAGTATCGCTGCAGTCTCTCAGGATTACAATGGGCAGCTGACTCTAACAACGTCCAGAAGTTTGCCCACTTTGTTGTTAATTCCTAGTGTTTGCCATTAACCACTTTTGTTAAACTTGCTCTTACTAATAAAGTGGGATGGTCGAAAATGTACACATACACACAAAGCATGTTCATACATAATTGTTACATTTAGTACATTGAGATCAATTTTAACAATAATTTCTCAATTACTTTTTAATATTTCTGCATAGAAAAGGTAGACTATTCCTATTATTTTAGTTCTGATTCTGCATTTCCCTTTGCAAATTATGAAATGAATAACACAGAGAAGGAACTATACATTTACTAGTTCCACAGAAGTGGAGAAAAAATACTTCCCTTCCGTGCAAGATAACAGTATGTTTTAATTTGAAAATTAATTATTAAAATCAAAATTATTTTAAAATTAGAATAATGTAAAATTACAAATTTTTCTATATATTGTCTTTGAAAGAAATAGCATCTTTGAATTATAATTTAGTTCTAAGAAATGTGACATCTACATGTAACCTCTGACCAGACTAAATTTTGAGACTTCTACAATATTTTAGATACTAAATTCCTATAAATATCACAAATAACTGTGAAAATTTGCCATTTTAAATTCAAAATATTGAAGTGAGCCTATTTTTCTTCTTTAAATTCCATGTCTAATTTCTTATAGATGGCTATATACATTATATACCTACATACACTAAAGTACACTTTACCCGTCTATATTATATAAAAGTAATTTTTATTAAAGTGTTTAAGATTTTAATAAGCATGCCTAAGAATATAAAGACAACTAAAGTTGCAACCAAACATATCTGTTTTCCAGATTTATTTTTCATTTCAGTTTGTTAGCTCATAATTTTCAATAAGAACTACTGAGCTTATGAAGATTTTTTTTCTATGTCTCTGTAAGACAAGTTCTAATAATTTCTAAACTGAGCAAATGGGTAAAGATTCTCTGTCAGGGTGGAATCAGCCCTAGTTCTAGTCAGAGTTAGTCATTTCATAGTTGTTTAACGCCACAGGACACTGACATTTTCTGGGTCTTACTACCTTCATTTTGTAAAGGATGTTAACAATGATTTCCAATGCCCCTCCATATTACATAGTCTATAGTTTCACAAGTTACAGGCAGGGACCATAAATATTAGTTAGGAGGAGATCATTCATATTTGATAAAACAGATGACAATAAAAATTTAGAAAAATATACTAGGATGTTATTTGTTGGCTTGATGGAATCACAAAAGTGATTACAGACTAACAATTGCTATTCTGCAATAAAATTTATATCACTAACATTAAACGGTACATTTTTAAAAGAATTATATTTAAGAAAAGATATCCAGTGACTCTAATGCTTTTGCAAACATGTTTTTTAAAGGATCACATTCAAGAAAAAGATATGTAGTGATTCTAATGCTTTTGCATGCTTGATCTTGTATGAATATTCTACTCTATATTATATACCTTAAATTTTTCAGTGAAAATTGAATATATCATGCCCAATGTACTCTGATGAGAAGACTGAAGAAAAATGACTTCAAATGAAAAACAACTCTAATGAGTTTTTGATAATTATACTTTTTTTTTTTTTTTTGGCACTATTCACTGTTTCCCTCTTAGGTAGGAAAACATAATGCTAAACAGAATAGAGAACTTCAACTGCAAAAAACCCCACATTCCATTATCTTTTTAACTCAAGCCCTAATAATCAGTAATAAAAGAATAATATTCCACTGAAGTAATGAAACACATGAAATATTGTGCCAGTGGTTTTTTCAAACTTGAAAAATACATTGACAATTTTAGAATGAGTCTTTGAATATTCTAAACTTCAACTGGAAAAATGCACATGAATTTCAACTGATAAAATGTTAATCTGTCAGTTCTATATTAAAATATCATAGCTAATCAATGTTATTTCTATTTGAACTATTATAAAGATTTTTATCAACTTTTTTTTCACAGTTTTACACTATTTCCTACTTTTGTTCAAGTAGGACATTAAAATAGTAAATATTAAATACATGTAGTTTATAAAGGGAAACTATCACTAACATGTACATATTAACATTAGTGATATTAAAAAATGACCAAAAAAAAATCAACTAAGATGTCTTTCAATAGGTTAGTGGATAAACAAACTGGTATACCGACACAATGCGATGTTAATCAACAATAAAAAGAAATGAGCTATCAAGCCACAAAAAGATATGAGAAAGCTTATAATGTGTATTGCTAAGTAAAATAAAACAGTTCAAAAGGCTGTATGTTGTATGATTCCAACTATACAACATTCTAGAAAAGGCAAAACCACAGACATAAAAAGATCAGAGGTTGTCAGGGTTGCAGGTGGGATGGAAGGATAAATAGGTGGAGCACAGCAGACTTTTAGAGCAGTGAAATTAGTCTGTATGATAATGAAATGGTGGGTAAATAATACTACAGAGTTGTCAAAATCCATATCACTCTACAACACAAATAATGACCCCCTATGTAAACTATTGACTTTAATAATGTATCAGTATTTGTTAATCAATTGTAATAAATGAACTACACTAATATAAGATGTTGATAATAGGGGAAACTATTAGCGGGGGGAGGGTATTAATGGGAACTCTTTACACTTCCTACTCAATTTCCTGTAAACTAAAACTGCTCTAAAAAATGAAGTCTATTAATTAAAAAATATTTAAATTCAATCACATCCTAAATCTTAATGATACAAATTTTAAAACCATAAAGAATTTGAAAAAAAAGTAGACGTACTGCATCATAACTTATGGTATTAAAAAATAATGGGACATTGCCAACATTATCACTTGGGTTCAAAATTAATTAAGAATTTTTCTATATCTGTACATTTACAATCATGTAGTATAATTTATGATGACTAAGTATTGTGGTTTTTATTGTCACTTGGCTAATGTCCCAGAAAGTCAATATGCTAAATTTTATTTTGTGTCTAAACTTGGTATATAGTTACAACCTACATATTCTAGGTAGTTTAGTATGCAAATAAATACTTTTAAATGAAAAGCCACTTACCACTATATTTGATGACACGAATTGTTGAATCTCCTTCGCCAAATTTGGTGAGAGGAGTCAGTCGGACTTCATAAGCTTCTGGTTTAATTAGCTCAGTCAAGTTATATGTAATTAATTCTCCCTTTTGAATATTCCCATTTATTTTAATCTCCTGTTCCCACCATCGCTGCTGTCCAGCCTGAAATTAAAAGAATTATATAATAATGTTCCTGGTATTTTTAACTGTGCATTGATCATTTAGCTAAAAATACTACTGCTGGGGGTTCTTTGGGGCCTAGGACAAAGTTATATTCCTTTAGAGATGTACCTTTGTTTCTGACATGCTCCGAAAGTTAGTATGGTTCACTTTTATAGATGATCCCTTGCTTTGGACAGACCTTGGATTTTCATTCCTGTCTGCCTTTTCAGTGCCAAACTATAAGAATCAAAGTTCAAATGTGTCTGTGTTGGTTAATAGGTGAGGTCAAAAGCAATCTGGGTGGGAAATATATATATATATTTGCTTGTTTTCTGAGGGTGGGTAAATCCTAGTTATATAGCCTAGCCTGCTATACGTCTGGAAATGAAAATCTCAAGTATGTACTATTAACACAGGACTAGACAAATGACAAATAAAATAATGAAATGGAACAGAAAGCCCATATGAATATTTGTGGGGGTGTTCACACAGAAGACATGAAAACATGTATCATTTGACTGGTTGTGTATATAAGAAATACACGAATGTGATCCTATTTCATATCTTTTAAAGAAAAGTCAGTCTCAGGAGGATCAAATGCTTAAATTTAAATGAAGTTAAATCATTTAGAAAAAATACAGAACAATGCCATTATGACCTCAGGTAAGATATTACTTTCTTAAACAGAATAGAAAAGCACAATTAGTAAAGGAAAAGATTGATAGATTAGCCAATCTTAAATTTGAAATTAATATTAAATTTAAAATATTAGTGTAAAAATTTCTTTTCATCAGTGCTCTCCATTAAACAAGGATAATAAAGGCAGAAGTTTGGAAAAAGATATCTAGAACCAATACGATTAACTAGAAGATATTAAAAGCTCCTGTAACCAAATAATAAAAAGAATTCAATAGCAAAATGAGTCTAATAGGAACAGGTATTTCATAAATGAAGAAACCTAAATAACTAATCAGAGAAAAGGCTCAGCCTCCCTGTGAATCAAGGAAATGAAAATTAAAGCCACAATACTATTTCCCACCATCAAACAAAAGCTTCCAAAAATTATAACACTGAGGTTTGATGTAGATATAAAACAATGAGAATTTTTATACCTGTCAAAACCTGGGGTAGGGGAGGAGGGTGGAAGGACAAGACTTTAGTCTATTTACAAGCTGACAAGTTAGCCTGCAACAGTATCACGGACACCACCAGAAGAATCAAGACTGCTGGGTCAGAGAAAAGGATTCACGACACAGCAGACAGCGCAAGTTCTACGTTCAAACTGGTCCCCTTTGTCTCCTAATTCACGCAGGGTGAAACAAAAGTGCCCAGTTGGATTTTGCATATTCCTTAGATTTGTATCCCATCTGTAGGACATTGAGCTTAACAGACCTTAGTATTTTAAACTGACGGTAACCAAACTTGTTCAACCATTGGCCAAAAGGGAGAAATTATATTTATTATAGTAAACATTAAATGGGTTTTCCTTTTGTTCCAGAGGAAGGCACAATCTCTACATTCTGAGGATGTTTACTCTGCAAATGATCTTGAAAAGATCAGCTGGTATTAAAAAAACAGTGCTCCTGTACATATGATATGCAAAAAAGCAGGAGATTCACAGGAAACTGTCTTCTAAAAGCATATTCTTGATAAGTATGTAAATTGGTATAAGTATGGAGAGCAATTTGGCAATAAAAGCAATATTACAATGAGAACAGATAAACCCTTGTACATAGGAAACAGGAATATTCATGGCATAGAAACACAGAAAATGATCTAAACATCAATAAGACACAGAATAATCAAATTGTAGACTCTTCATAAAATATAATTCAAAATATAGCATAAAAAATGAACCTAAGCCACAATACATCATCATGGATGAATTTCATGAAAGTAATACTGAGCTAAAATTTAATTTTAAAGCAGACATATTAAAAAATTTAAGTTCAAAATATGCATTTGGAAGAGGGATACATAGATATGTGTGAGTATAACGAAATGCAGAAAATAGTAAATACTACATTTAACATGCTGGTCGCACGGGGTGGAAGAGCATCAAGAGGAGAAGATGCAATTGTGAGGAGGTAAAAGAAGACTTAACTCCGTGATTTTTGTTTCCTTAGATTGGTAGCAGAAATACAAATCATAATTATAACATTTTTGTTTGCCTGAAATATTTTTCTTTGTTTTTCAAAGAGAGAATTGTAGAATAAGAGTTAGAGACAGGCAATTGTGAATTTTCTTAACACGCTTTCTCCCTTGAATTTTAAGACAATGCTCCCTTGTACTGCTTCCTGCATCTGTATCTGTGGCCACTCCTCACTCTCTTGCAGGGCTGCTTTTCCTTTTCCTGAGTTCTAAATGTTGATGGTCTTTGGAGTTTTGTATGTGGTGTTTTGATACTTCATATGAGCGATTCTCACAGTTAGGCAAGCATGAGAGTCGTAAGACAATTTTGTTAAAAACCAAAATTCCAAGTCTTTACCACCAGTATTTCTGCTTCACTGAAGTCGAGGATAAAAATTTTTCAGTGAGCTTAGAAATACATTGTTTTAAAAAAGCACCTCCTCCTTTTCAAGGCAATTTGGATGCAGGAGCTCCAGGGCCTATATTTGGTGAGGCACAGCCCAGTAGCACTAGACCACTGCATTAATACCAGTGTTTCTTCTAACACCTCTACACTGATTACTCCCTAACTTGTATTTTCAGATCAGATAGTGAAAAACAAAAAAACAAAAACATCCTACTACATTTATTAGTCCTTACCAGGCAGGCACCATGTTAACTGTGTATATTACACCACTGTATTTAATTTACCACAACCCTGAGTAGGCAGGAACTAACAGTGGCCCTATTTTACACACTGAGGAAACTGAGGCAGAAGTTACTGTGACTTTCCTTAGGTTGTGTATCTAGAGAGTAGCAACTGCAACATTTGATTACACCCAAAATGACTCTTTCTGGCATCATTTTCTCCTCTGCTCGCCCAGAATTTATTGCTCCCTTAATTATTTTAACCAATGCCTTTATATATTTAGTTATAATACACTTAATAGTGCTTTTCTTTTTTGGACATAGATTATAAGCCAGGAACAATTTCTTACTAACTTTTCTACCTATAGTGTCTGGTCATCAACTAGATAAAGATGTGATGAGACTAAATTCAGTGTATATTTAACTGACCCAAGGAATACAGCAAGAAATCTAACTTAGTGATAACTGTATACAGTAATTGAATTTACAAACATTGATAAAAATGGACATAAAACCTAATTTTACAGAAAGTACTTTACTCATGCATAGTTGACACTAGACATTACAAGGTTTCTATAAGTTTTGGAAATTAAAAATTCTACAAAATAATATAAATGACAATTCCTTTAACTGTCTTTAGATTTTAGACTTTAAAAATTATATGTACAAACAAAAGGCAAAGTACTATTATTTCAGAAGATAAGCCCACAAAAATATATATAGAATAATTTGATGTTTTATTATTATCTAAAGATACACAAGTTTAATCAAGGTATAATTTTCTGGATGTTAAATATAAACTTAATAGCACTCAATATTTGTAGTACATCCCAAGGGGAGACTGTAGGTATTCTGTCATTATAATGAGATGCTCTACTTAAGTAATTTTGGTTGGCAGAAACATTGATGTTGTTACTTATTACAAATCCTGGAGTACATAACTTCATATGTGTATTAAAAAAGCAATAACTTTGATTCTAAATCTTTAATTTAAAGCTGTAATGAAAGTATATACTTCAGCAGTTAAGGAATAAGCAATTAAACACTTCATATTGCATCTCAGTGAGCTGTGCAAAGTGTAAAAATGGAAAACTAAATGCAATGTTTGCACATACACAAAAGGAAACACAGTATTAGTCCATTGTTTGCAGATAATAATATAAAACCCTCAGAGAGTGTGGGACCCAAAGCATAACTACAGAAGATAGTTCCAGAGCACGCTCATAAACATGCTAATATGAAAGCAATGTGGAAAGTATTTCTTATCATTTCAAATTTTAAAAACATTTTGTTTAACTTTTTCTTTTCCTAGGAAATACATTACCTTCACGTAATTTAGAAGATGATTTTCATGATTTGAAGAAGAAATAAGCCATAATTTTTCTGAACACTAAGACCTATAACTTGTACCATATACGCTATCTGGAAATTCTCATTTCCAGAGATAAGGCTCAGAATAATTTTACAGCATGACATGGAGGAGGACTGGAAAGCTGTATTCAGTAACAACTGGAGAAAGTATGGATTCATAAGCACCAATGTGCTTCTCCTAAAAATCGAATATTCTTTATTTTTCTAAATTGAATTTTGCTTACTTCATTTCTGGTGATGGAAAGCTAATTTTTTCAGTTCAAGTTAAAATCAATATGTTTAAAATTTGAACTTGATAAACTTAACCCAATCACTTTGCTTACTGGGCACTACACAGGGAGGTACTTAAGTTGCGGCAAGAGCAGAGGAAGCTCGTCTCCCAGCTTTCCTGTTTGTGGCATGGTGGTGGAGGGATGGATGCCTATTGCCTGGATTATCCTGTCTGCTACTGATCATATCTTGGATTTAGTCAACCTCATTGGGTCTCTCTGGTCCTGCACTAGCACTTTTTGCTTTGTTTTTGGAAGTGCTTTGGCCCATGGTCAGCATTTCTAGTCAATCTGTAATTTTCTTAGGCAAATTACAGGTTCTTTCTGTCTAAAAGCACCATCTCTACCCATTTTCAGGGGTTGGGTGAATCCTGTTTCCTCTCTACCACAGTGATGCAAAAGACTTGCCAGGCCCCAGTCCCTGAGCACGGAACTCAGTCTGTGGGCTCCCTCAGGCAGCGCACGGAGCTTCAAGGCAACCTCTGGAGTTTTCCTGAGCTACCTGCAGGGAAGTGAGTCCATACTGTCCCCACTCAAGTGGGCTGCAGGTGCCTTTCTCAGGGAATTTCTAGCACTTACTGTACTGTTCTTTCACTTTTACTA